GATCTTTAAAATCAGAACAGTTTCCATTAACCCTATTATAAGAACTACTGACCTTTTTGTTTTTAACACTATTTCTTTAAAATGTTGTTTTAAAGGTCTCATATTAAATGACAAGACTGCCATCTAGAGCTTTTATGACTATTCCTTTAGCATTTTTCACACTGAGAGTCCTATATAATCTAGAGATGGACTGTCTAAAATAGTAGCCACTATTCACATGTGGTTATTGAATAACAGGAAGGTGACATATTTGAACTGAGATTGCTATAAGTTTAGAAAGAAAACTTTATTTCAAACATTCAGTTTGAAAAAAACTTAAATATCTCATTGATGAGTTCTTATACTTACATGTCAAAATGACACATTTTTAGGTATTTGAGTTAAAAATATACCATTAAAATTAATTTCGCTTTACTTTTTTAATGTAGCTAGTAGAATTTTTTAAATTACATATATGACTCATATTGTATTAATATTAGATAGCACTAATCTAGAAGAAAGACTGTCTTAAACATAAAGGGCTCAATAAATATTAGTGTATTTATTTCTAAAAAATGGAATATAATTTATATGTGTCCACTGTTGTAACTAGTTACTCCTTTGGGAATACAGTAAAAACTAATGATTCAAGAAGAATTAAAGAGGAAGTTCTCATTTTTAAAAATTAGAAAAAATATGTCCCACAAAAATCCAGGATGTTTGAAAGAAAAACAATATGAATGTGGAAATGATAGAAAAAAAGATAATTTAAAAGACATAGAAAATGGACAACTTGCACATCAGTATGGATAATAATTTTAAATGGATCGAAACATATTAAATATGTGAGTCTGTACATTTATGATACAAAAACAAAAAAAATTTAGTTTGAGGATACTGGACAAACAACTCTCTACTTTGAAAACTGATAAATAACAAGAAAGACTATAATATTTATCGTGTCTTTTCTTTATGAACCATAACAATAAGTAACCAAATATCTGACAAGAGGGAATTTGTTTTTACAGAAGTTTTCCAATCAAGAAATTAAAAGAAAACTGGAATATCAGTTTTAATACAACATTGAGCATCGGAGTCTGCTAAGAACAATGTAGAAAAGACTGTTAATAAGAAAGAACAATTTAAAAGTATATACTAGAAGGAAATTAGTAAAAACAAAGCCTAAAACTGATTAATTAGAAAACAAAATCAGTGGGAAGGATGAAAAAAACCAAAAGGTCATGCTCTAATGATATAACAACAACAAAAAAAGAATGACTATCAATAAACAAGTACCACACCCAGAGATTTTGGTTGAATTTAGCTAATCTTTGAAGTTCACTTAATAGTATTTTTCAGTTACTCCTGTTTTAAAAGATCTTCTCATAAGCTTATCATAGGACCCAGATAGTTCACTCCTAGGAACCTACCCAAGGCAAATGAAAACACACAAAGACCATCTGAATATTCATATCAGCATTTTTCATAATAGCCTAAGTCTATAAATAATCCCAATGTCCATTAACTGATGAATGGACCAAAAGAAAGTGGTATTACTCACTAATTTTAAAACCTAAACTTCCCTATGAACAAAGTAAAATAGAAACACCTTGGGATCATCTCATTGATGCAGAAAAAGCATATGACATAAACAGCCATTCCTGATAAAAATGCTCAGGAAAATAGGAATAAAAGGGGATTTTCTCAACTGGTAAGGCATCTAGGAAAAACTTCCACATACTTAACGGTGAAAGACTGAATGTTTTCTTCTAAGACCAGGACCAAGACAAGAATATTTGAAGGCTCACCACACCTTTTCACATGGTATCAGGGGTATTAGTCAATGCAATAAAGCAAGAAAAGGAATTAAAGTTAACCAGAGAAGAAAGGACGAAATCAAATGCCATTATTTGCAGAACACATTATTGTCTATGTAGAAAATATGATGGAATCTACAAAAAAGGTACTAGAACTAATAATTGGGTTTAGCAAGGTTGAAGGATACAAAATCAATATAAAAATCAATTATAGCTAAAAAAACTTCTATACAGCAAAGGACACCATCAACAGAACAAAAAGGCATCCTACCTTATGGGAGAATATATTTGTAAATGACATATCCAACAAGGGATTAACACCCAAAAAGCACCCAAAAACAAATAACCCTATTAAAAAATGGGCAGAGGATATGAACAGACAATTCTCCAAAGATGAAATACAGATGGCCAACAGGCACATGAAAAGACACTCCACATCCCTAATTATCAGGGAAATGCAAATTAAAACCACAATGAGATATCACCTCACACCAGTTAGGATGGCCACCATAGAAAAAAATAGGAACAACAAATGCTGGCAAGGATGTGGAGAAAAGGGAATGTTCCTACACTGCTGGTGGGAATGTAAACTAGTTCAACCATTGTAGAAGGTAGTATGGAGGTTCTTCACAAAACTAAAAAATAGAAATACCATTTGACCCAGGAATTCCACTCCTAGGAATTTACCCTAAGAATGCAGAAGCCCAATTTGAAAAAGATATATGCACCCCTATGTTTATCGCAGCACTATTAACAGTAGCCAAGAAATGGAAGCAACCTAAGTGTCCATCAGTAGATGAATGGAAAAAGAAGATGTGGTACATATACACAATGGAATATTATTCAGCCATAAGAAGAAAACAAATCCTACCATTTGCAACAACATGGATGGAGCTAGAGGGTATTATGCTCAGTGAAATAAGCCAGGTGGAGTAAGACAAGTATCAAATGATTTCACTCATCTGTGGAACATAAGAACAAAGCAAAAACTGAAGAAACAAAATAGCCACAGACTCACAGAACCCAAGAATGAACTAACAGTTGCCAAAGGGAAAGGGACTGTGGGGGGAGGTGGGTGGGAAGGCAGGGAGAAGGAAAATAAGGGGCATTACAATTAGCACACATAATGTAGGGGGCGGGCATGGGGAAAGCAGTATAGCACAGAGAAGACAAGTAGTGATTCTATAGCATCTCACTACGGTGCTGGACAGTGACTGTAATGGGGTATGTGGTGGGGACTTGATAATGGGAGAATCTAGTAAACACAATGTTGCTCATGTAATTGTATATTAATGATGCCAAAATAAAAAAATTAAAGTAAATAAATAAATTAATTGATTGATTGATTAATTAATTAAAAGACAAAAAAACATTTAAAATACAAATTATCTACTAAGGTGCAAAAGATATTTTGAAGTTAGCTGATAACACTTATAGGATAATATATTCTGCTGAAATGACCCCAGAGTTATGGGTATGTGGTGAGGACTTGATAATGGAGGGAATCTAGTAACCACAATGTTGCTCATGTAATTGTATATTAATGATACCAAATTTAAAAAAATAATAATTTATATTTGTACATACTAGACTCAATCAGATATATATTTTTAATACCATAAAAAATATAAAACATATAGAGATAAATCCGTCAAAAACTGTGAAAGTCCTGAACAGTGAAAACTACCAAATATTGATGAGAATAAATTAAAGAATAATTAAGAAAAATTAAGAGATATACTATGTTAATGGGTCAGAAGACTCACTATACTTAGCATACCAATTGTCCTCAGATTGATCTATAAATAAAACATAATATCAATCCAAACCCTAGCCTGTGTTTTTGTAAAAACTGACAAGCAGATACTAAAATTTGTAAAGGAAAAACAAATTGGAGAATAACTATTACATGATTGCCAAACTTATTTTACAGCTAGGGTAATTATAGCAGTCCCATGTTAGCATAAAAATAAATTAATTAATGGAACAGAATAAAGAGTACAAGAAGAGTCTTATACAGCCTCATACACATATACGGGCAACTGAATTTTGACAAATATTCAAAAGCAAGTCATTGGTTAAAAGACAGTCCTTAAGTAAATTAGGCTAAAATATTTGGACATCCATATGGAGAAAAAAATTGATCCCTCTCTTAACATATATACAAATATTAATTCAAAATGCACTGCATATTTAAGTGGAAAACCTAAAGCTGTAGAACTTCCAGAAGAAAACAGGGAAATCTTCATGACCTTAAGGTAGGCTAAGATTTCTTAAGAATAAATTGATAAAGGGAACTTCATCTAAATTAAAAACTGCTCCTCAAAAAAAGATTCTAAGAGTGAATATACAAGCCATAAACTAGGAAAAATATTTGTAAATAATGTATCAGATAAAGAACTTGTATCTGGAATATATTCAGTACCCTAAAAACTCAGTAATATGAAAACAATCCAATTTTAAAAAGTAGGCAATGGTTTTAAACACACTTCATTATATACAACATACACATGTCAAGTAATAACATGAAAAAAAATCACATGAATATATTCAGTACCCTAAAAACTCAGTAATATGAAAACAATCCAATTTTAAAAAGTAGGCAATGGTTTTAAACACACTTCATTATATACAACATACACATGTCAAATAATCACATGAAAAAAATGCTTAACATCATTAGTTGTTAGGGAAATGCAAATAAAATAAGAATTAGTTTCCATTACACACCTATTCGAATGGCTAAAATTAAAAAGACTAACCAAAGTGTTAATATATTTGGAAAAACTGAAACTCCCATACATGGTGGGTGAGAATGTAAAATGGTAAAAACATTAGGAAAATAGCTTAGTTGATTTCTAAAAATTTAAAACACCTACCATATGTTATTATCCAGTGGAAATATCTTTCAGCAGAAAATCAGTGCAGCTTTTTAGTTATGACCAAAATTACCCCCTGCAAAAATCTATCACATAATTCTATTTGCTCAAAATTTAATCGTAATGAAAAAAGATAACATTAAAATCCAGTATAATTAAGAGAATATAACAAGAAGACATTGCCTTTCTTAGCAATATATATGGAATTGTATTATAAGATTTAAGAAATTATATCGGTTTTCAAGATGAACTTTATTATCTGCAAAGTCACCTGAAACTAATTATGCAAAGTCATTATTTGAAATGAAAAAATGCAAATACTTACAATAACATGTTCCTCTAAGTGGATTACCAACATAGCGATTTTCAGAGTCACATCTGTAGAAATACAAAAACTAATTTAATATTAAACACCAAAATTCAAAAGTTTCATGTTTGTCTTCAAGCAAAAATATAATTAAACTCTACATTAAAATATCTTAAAAATTATAACACTGATTGAAATTTTAAACCAATATTCAAAAGAATTAATGTAGAAAACTTACATAAGAATATGAGTAAGAGAAGAAATAAGTGGAGAAGACAAATAAACATGCACAAGAAGAATATACAAGATGTCCCAGGCAGATGGTATAAGATTATGAGGTTTGGGATGTGTATCCTTTTTTAATAATATGAGGAAGAAATGAAAATCTGGATAAAGATACAGAGACATTTTTAGATAGAGGAAGAAAATTGTGGGAATTCATAAATTATTCTTTTGGTGGTCTTTGAAATTAATCTATTTTCCCCAGATACTATACCTTAGAATCTGCATTTTTTTAAAAAGACCTTTTCAGTTGTGTAATGGACAAATATTTTCTCTAAATTGTTGTACTCTAAATTCAGGAACTCAAACTTTGAATTCATGTAAGCAGATTTTTTTTTTAATGAAAGAACATATGAGCATTCAAATCCATGAATTCTAAGTCAACTTCTTCTAAAATATGGTTAACTCTAGCAGTGAAAGAAAATCATATTTTCAAAATTTCTGAAGTTCACATTTTTCAATCCCTGTTTCCAGAATCCAATTGAAATGCCAATTAGCATCTAATAGAAATATAGCTTAGTTTTGCATAATGCTAATTCTTAATACCCTTCAAAATAAATTATAAAATGTATATATCAGGGTAACTGAATAAAGCGATTTAATATTTAAATTATATGTAAAAGTTTAAAAGGTGAGAAAGACCTTCCAAAAATGTCTTTAGTTTTAGTAGAGCCAATTAGAACAGAGGAGTAATTTTAATACATGTATACTTTAATTATTAAGGGGCCAAATAGTTTAGAATAATAAGCTAAATAATCAGTTTACATTCTAAATGCATTTTTCAGCCATGTACTTGCTAGTTTATGTATCCCTGCAAAACATGAGTTGAAGAGTAAATCTTTTCTATACTAAGTACAAAATTAAAGTAGAAATATAATAGCCCTTTATACCATTAACTTTATTCTCTGTGAAACAAAGGAATTTTGGGTATTAGATTTTCTGTGACTTCTCCAAATGCTATTTTTAAAATGTGTGATGTATAGTAGTTTTCTAGCTTTAGAAAATGGTCATACTCATTATTGCTGGGGTAAGCACTTCAAAATCTATGTTATTCCTATACTATTATTCTTTCCTCAGGCTCACCTCCATAAATCCCATCACATTGTACCAAGTATATACATATACTAAAGGACTGATTAACAATACTGTTGTAATTCCTTTTTCTGTTGCAAAAAATCAACTGGACTTGCTAAAATGGGTCTCTCAACTCTACTTTTAAAATAGGAAAATATTCAACATAACATCCTCTACATGGTTATGCATGATATTCCCTGCCTATTATTTGCATACATAGATGGCTTTCAAAGTCCCATAGTAATCTAAAATGACTAACTTTGACAAAGGACAAGAGATTTCAAATACTTCTTAATTAATCTGTATGTTGACTTTAAGAACTCCAGATACAAGCCTATTTTCTAATACGGAAGTTATAAAGTTTTCATTTTTGTTAATAATACTCAATTTATTCAAATTATATAAAATTATTTTGGACTGAAAATTTTTGTAATGTTTACCTACAACCTAATTTTTACAAAGGAATGGTTAAAATGTTATTTTCTCCATTTCACAAATTTGCTGAGAAGGATGAAATTATATGCTCTTGCTAACTAAACTAACTTTTACTAGCTCTCAAGCTCAGAATTTTAACAGAAGTAAGAAATTAACACCATCTTGTTAAGAATTAAACTGAGAAGCTTCACAGAGGTGTTATAGATGTGGAATATAAGAATTACACTCTCTTTTAATTTTAAAACTCAAAAAAAATCAAATTAGAAACATGTATTGTCTAAAGTACTTTATATTAAATGATTATTGATAAAATGTGGAATGCATTAGAAATATTTTCAAAATTCAGCTCTACTTGTCATAGCTTCAATCAAAGATCTAAGATGTTATTGACTAGCAAATGCATTCTAATAACAGTCACCAACCATGGGAAAATATCTTCATTACAAGAGATGAAATGAAATTTCAAACAAATGTATAAATGCATATATGTATGAATGTATGTATATATTGCTACACTTATACAGTCATACATATGTGCATTTATACATTTGTTTGAAATTTCATTTCATCTTTTGTAATGAAGATATTTTGTACTGTGCAAACCAATGATCTTCCCATGTCATTTCCCACATGCCAAAATTGGCAAAAAACACTTATGTTAATCCATTGTAATAATCAGTTGATTTTTGGTATAGCCATTATAGATGGCATAGCCATTACAGACATTCATATAACCTATATAAACATGAGATCTGTATGCAATATTATCATAATCTATCAATTTCATTGCAGACTTCATAAATAAATACCAGCTAAATAAAACAGGATGGAGGATTTCACAATGATTGTCAACAGAAGGAGAGAACAGTATTATACAAAACAAAATTTTTAATTCTTGCTTGAGGCAATTTTGAACATACAAATATAAAATAATCAGATTAATATAAAAATGTTTTATTCTGTAACAGATCACTGTCTTTAGCAATGTTAAAGTAATATTTTTTAGAAAAATCTTAATTTGCACTGTTGAAATTATTTTACCTATTCATCTGAAAGCATTTAGTGTATTATATAAATATTTAGTACACAAATATATAATTCAGTGAATACAATAAAAGTGATTGGATATATTTGTACTAGTGATCTATGGCTAAGTAACAGATTACCACAAACTTAGTGGCTTTAATCAACAATATTTATTATCTCATAGTTTCTGTGGGGCAGGAGTCGGGGCGTGGCATAGCTGGTTTCTCTGTTTCAGAGACAGTGCAGTCAAGGCATCAGCTGGGGTTGCGATCTTAGCAGAGGCTTGATTGGGAATGCTCCTGCTTCTAGGCTCCCTTACTGAAAGCATTTCTTTCCTTGTAGCTATTAAACTGAGGATCTTGGTTTCTTATTTACTAAAGGCTGGAGGATGCTTGCAGCTCCACTTACTTCTTCAAAGCTAGCAAGGGAGAAAGTCTCCAGAGCAGGGCTTCTAGCTAGTCTCACTTAAATCATATTCATGAAAATGACGTATGATTACCTTTACTATATAATGTAACATAATTATAGAAGTAATATTCCATCACCTCTGCCATATTTTAGAAACAAGTCATTGGTCCTGCCCACACTCATGGAAAGGTGTTTATACAAAAATGTGAATACTAGAAGGTGGAGATCATTCGTAGTCACCATAATATTTTGTTACACAAATATTTTGTTATAAAAATATGTTTGTTTAGATATGAACAGGTACTAATCTAATTCACGGAATACATAATTTGAGTTCAATTATGTGATCAAGTTCAAATTCAGATTATAAGAGGTAAAGAGAATATGAAGGGAAGAGTATATATATGAATTATTCTTTAAACAAATTAATATTTTACTACATAAATTACATTAATATTTCTGATATGTAGGCTAAGCAATCTTTTTAAAATTCAGAATCCTTCTGTATAAAATTAGATACAAACATTAAAAGCCTTCAGAAGTCTTCTGCATGGTTTAATTAAAAACATAACTTCAAATATTTCTGTGTCTAAGCAAAGAGATAATCATGCTCTATTCTCACGAAGCAAATAAAGCAAACAGCCAGAACTTCTTAGAAGACAGATTAAGGCTGAAATATTTATTAGGGACTTTGAAAGGGTAAATACTGTCATTACATGTCACCTAAATAATGTGAATGATCACATTACCTTATAAATATCACTTTTTAAAAGAACAAAATATAAAATAATTTCACATTTCTAAGTGTTAAAATATAGCATTCATTTTGTCTCTATTTGAATGTTTAAATACATATACATATCTTGAGATATAATATCTATTCAGAAACTAAAAAAATGGGAACATCTAATTGCTATAATTTTCAAATATCATAACATGATTTAAAAAGGCTGAGACTGATAAATAAATTTATGTTTTTATGAGAAAGTATGGAAATTACACAATAAAACACTTGCTTTTTCTGTTTCTCTTCTAAAGAAACCCATAAAATTATATCATATAATATGAACAAAAATATGATATTAAGGAGTATCAGATATCAAATTAATACCATATTTCTAAGATAATTTATTACTAAAAAAACAATAAAAATTCAGACAAGAAGGTGTGGTAAATCCTCAAACAGTATAGGAGGTACAGGTTCTAAGGGGGCTGTTTACATACTTCAAAGACCAAGAACTCATTAGGCTAAGTTGAAGACAACTAAAAAGGGCAGATTCTGTTTTTTAATGCTTAACAGCACTAGAGAGGAAAAGAGTGAAAAATTACCAAACCAGGAAGCAAGGAGATGGAATCCCAGAATGCTGAATCATTTGGGGCATCCCTTTGTCCCTCGTTATAGATGGAAATAGTATTTCATAAGAAAAATGACTGAAGTCAAGGCCCACAAAAAGTTAGTGAGCTAAGTCCCAAAGAGTAATCTTAGGAGTAAGTTCACAGAAAAGCCTGCCAGAGACTCCAGATCTACTTTGAGCCATCTTTACTCCTGAAAATGATTAATGAACTATTGCCCACAGGAACACAGCAGAATTACGTTCTTTTTGGAAAAAAATTTCATCCAAGGTCTCAAACTAGCTATAAGTAGATTTTGCAAATATGGTATCTAGTACAAAATAAAAAATAACCAGGCAGGCATGGAAACAGATAAGAAAACAAGAACAAGAATAAGCAGAAACAATGGATGATGGAAATGGAGCCAAGAGAATTCACATATTACTAGGAAAAGAAACAGGCTTTAAAAAGAACTATCTTTATTATATTGGAGGAGATAATAGACAAGATTAAA